TCCCGACCAGACTTCTTCAGATGTCTTCATCTCTAAGGCAGATGAGGGACATCTATTTATTAGATATACTGTTATCGAAACAACCTCAGCCCAAAAGACCTTCTTCAATCCATCACTAACCAACATGCATCTAATGTTTTCTAAAATGGTCCGGTTAAACCTTTCAGCTAAACCATTTTGTTGGGGAGTACCTGTAGTAGTTTTGTGCCTTGCAATACCAGACACAATAAAATAGTTGTCAAATGCCTCATTGCAAAATTCAAGACTATTGTTTGTTCTCAGCCTCTTGACTTTCTTGCCAATTTGATTTTTTACTAGAGTCTTCCAACTTTTGAAATTTTCAAAATTTTTATCCTTAGCTTTCTGAATGAATACTTATAACTTTATAGAACAATCATCAACTATACACAGAAAATACATTGCACCTGAATGTGAAAGACATCGACCAGACCCCTAAAGATCAGCATGGATATAATCAAAGGATCCATGTGTTCTATATTTACCTTTGTTAAACTTCACCCTACGGGATTTACCAAATACACAAGGTTCACAAAATTTCAATTTTTCGACCTTGTCTCCACATAGCAGATTTTGTTTCGACAATTCGACCAGACCTTTTTCACTAACATGGCCAAGTCTCTTGTGCCATAGCTCAGTCTATGACACAAGTTTTGTGGACACCACTTTAGCTGAGCCACTTGCAACCTCAGTCTCATGAGTATATAGGCCTTGTCTTTTGATGCCTCTCAAGACTTCCTTCGACCCCTTCATTACCCTTAGGATACATTGTTCTCTTTTGAAAACATATCATTTCTTGTTGAGTTCACTATGAAAAATCAAATTTCTCTTCAGAACAGGTACATACCTAATAGCAGTCAATAGCTTTATTGAATCATCAAGGAGATTTAATCTTACAGATCTAATTCCTGTAATTTTGTAGGTTTTGTTATTTCCCAACAGCACTGTTCTATCATATTGATCACAAAATTCCTCAAACACATCTTTTTTAAGAGTCATGTGTCAAGTGCAACCTGAATCTATAATCTATTACTTGCAGAATTACTGCTCAAAACTACAAGAACATCATATGATTCAAAATCATCTTGCACAATAGTTGCATTACCATTGTTCTTACCACCATGATTGTTCTGTCAATCAGAGCACACCTTTCGTGTGTGACCCCATTCTCATAGTGATAACACCTAATTACAGAAGTATCACCACCATAAGATTTTTGTTGACCTTTACCCTTATTCTTTTCAAACTTACCATCTTTCTTCGAGAATTTTCCCTTAACGAACAAACCTTCGCCAACCGATACTTTTTACTTTTTTTTCCTCTCATTCAAGTCCTTTGAGTACAAAGCGAATTAAACTTCTTTAAAATTCAAGAAATTTATTTCATACAAGAGAGTTTCTTTGAAGTGAGCATGAGAACGTGATAAAACACACAACAATAACAACGCTTGATCTTCATTATTGATCTTGACATCGATATTTTCAAGATCAAAAATTAGTTTGTTGAACATATCCAACTGCTCAACCAAGAATTTGTCTTCACTCATTTTGAATGAATACAAAGCTTGCTTCAGGTAGAGGCTATTGACCAACGATTTGGCCATGTACAAACTTTCTAATTTCATCCACACAATCATCGTCGTCTTCTCCTTCAAAACCTTCCGGAGAACCTTATCATCAAGGTTCAATACGATGGCGTTGTGGGCTTTCTCTATCATCGTCGTTTTCTCCTTTTCCGTTAGCGCAGCATTCATGGTTTCGGCTCCTTCAACGCTTCTAACAAATCCTGCTGAATTAGTAGGACTTGCATCTTCAAGCGCCACAAACCGAAATTATCCGCACTGATAAATTTCTCAATCTCATACTTCATTGAGGACATCTTATTCTTCATGCTCACCACATCAGTTTGTTGTAACAGAGTGTCGTCATGAACGAACCAAAACTATGAGAAAGATTGAGTTTCTTGAACAAACACAAGAAACCCTATTAAGTTTTCCCGAAAGAGAGAGAAAAGAGAAGAAGAATAAGAAAATCAAGATTGGTTATGACTGTTTACTATTCACTTACTCAATAAGTATTCAAAGATTACAAGTGAATAACAATAATCAACATCTCTCAACAACATGAGAGAACTAGTCTATTTATATAATAATAAGCTAACTTAAACTACAAGCTAACTTAAACAATTGAAATAAACAAACAGGCATAACTCGATATGCTAACAATCCTAACATTTCGACGACTGCATGCTTGAGCGTACTACGACTACAGTATGCAGGACTTCGACATTAACATGTGAGCAGATTTTGGCAGTATGCTTAAACTATGTCGAACCAAGAAGCTACCATTGTCGAGACTAGAATTTGATCAAAAATCTCACCTATATAAATTCAAACCAGTACAGATGAGATTTTACACTTTTGATATATTTCTATACATTTCTAATCCCTAATACTTTTTAACAAGATTTTTTTACCTTAAAATAGACGCGGAATTGTCAGGTCATTGACACTGAACTATAATTACTCAATGGCAATTGGCATCCTTCAAGGTGAAAGTTTATAAATAAAAGAATACTTCAAACTATTTTTCTATTATGTACTTACCCTGTCTGTGACAGAGCAGAATGTAGTGGAATTCAAATTACCTCTAATTCTGAAATGCCATAACTTCCCTTTAGAATACAACAAATTCTCATCACAAAGAAACTCCCAAGAAAACCATTTTTCTACCATTCTATTTACATCATGTACTATTACATCTGAAACATTCCCACCTCTAGCTAGTACACCAACAGTGTAAATGGATGCCATTCTCCCCGGTGACTCGGCCGAATCGCCACTCGGTCCATCCACAAGTATGACATCCCAATTCTTCTCATACACTATTGCAGGCAGATTTTTCAATGCAAGACTGCATTTTGATGTTTGTAGGTATCTTGGGTCTGGTGCACATACTGGATTGTTTCTTGCATGTTTGAGTAGTTTATAAGCTTCTTTTGTTGGCACATTGTAGTTTAAATTGTGTATGTGAGTGTTGTTGTTGGAGTTTAATGTTGTTCTGTCGTGGTTATTATCGTCGAGAAAGACAGTGCTACCGGCTTCGTTCATTGATGAAAGAATGAGGAACTGAGGTTGAAAACCAAATATGAGAAGGTTGCATGGAGATTTAAAAGCAATTAGATCTGTTAAAACTTTGAATTCTTTCTCTCGGAAGGTGGTTGTGATGTTGTGAGATACTCTTGGATGCAATGATGATTCATTTGTATAAGAAAAAGGTGGAGAAGCGTGAGATGAATGAGTTTTGAGAGTGAGGCTAAGAATTCTGAGGACAGATATGATTGAGAGGATCAAAACAAGGATAGGGATGAGTTTCTTTTTTGTCAGACTCATCTCTTTTGTTACTCTTTGGTATTTGTGAAATATAGAAGGTGGATTTTGTTGTGCTTGAATTACGAGAGGATGTGAAAATTGAACAAGAGGACGAAAATAAAGAATATCAGGGGGCATGTTGGCTTTTTTTTTCCTTTGGTTCACACAATGGTGTTACTTTGCACCCTTCTTATGGTGTAGTGTGCAATTGATGATACTAGATACTTTTATGTGCACTTTGTTGAGTAGAGAGGAAGGGATAGTTTTGCTTTTGATACAAGTTTTGCTTTTTTGTTACCTAATTTTTGTGGTTTGCTGGTTGAGTTATGGAATTTAATCTGTCAACAAATAAGTGTCTTGTTTAGAAAGATATGTTTATATGAATCTTTTCTGTTGGTGCTGACATGCGTCCTTAACTTTGGTTTGTTGTCAAATTATCTCTTTTGGTGATGATGAGTAAGTTTGAAGATGACAAACTGGTGGTTGTTGAGTCTCTTTCAAATATATAAGTACATAATACAAATAGTTGTCAGAGGATGTGCAAAACGGATTACTGCACAGGATCTAAAATTTATCAGTTAAACACGGCTCTGATAATGCTAAATGACTACATGATCTTTTTGGCGGTTCATGTATTAGGCTATCATAACTGACAACATGATGTGAGAAATTGTGTTATTATTGATCTATCATGCTATGAGAAACACAACTAAGGAAGGGTGTATCCTATTCAATAATATACATTACTTCATTGGAAATAAAATAGACTTCTTTGTGGACTATGCTCCCAACATGTAGCAACGGGGAATATTCTCACGAATCTTCAAATTTTTTATTAAACATTATGACCCTCTATTATATATAGAACTAGCTTTTCATACCACAAAATAACAACAGAATTGGTCTTCCTATGTTATCAGATTATAACTTTGTTTACCAACATTACATTGGTCCAAGTGAAATTGGACTCACTTGTTTTTCGATTTAAAGAAACAGTTTTGAAAATGTCACTGAAGAAATTACGAGAACGAGTTACAGAATAGATCGTTCTCTTTGAGACGTTTTGTGACACTGTCAAAATTGTGGAAGGTATCAACCGCAACCTCTTATCTAACCCTTAGCATAAAGATTGAGTCCACAGTTACCTTGAAACCATACATGATGCCATGTCTGTGTTGACTTTCCACCAATACTAAACTATGAAATGGTCATTCTCCATCAAAAATATATATAAAAATTCAATAGTGACGTTACGTTATTCAATTAACAAATATTGTCACGTCGTTGCCAATGGAAAGTTTCACCTTAAAACTCTTATGCTAACGTGTTATTTAATCTTATTATCTACACATACATTAATTGATAGAGTATAGAAATGAAAACCAGCTTAATCATATTTTAATTTTTAGTCTGAAAACCACTAATAGTCACAAAGCTATAACTCTAGATAAATATGTGCAAACCATGGTTAAGTTCATAGGCACTTAAGGCATAAAAAGACTTGTGATTTTATTTGGCATCTTTCTGCTAGAGATTTTCTAAGGTGTTAAACACTAAAAAATCAATATCTTTTATTTCTGTTAAGTAGTGAAGATTGAAGACAAATATTACCATGGGAACAAACAACAAGCTTGGAGGATCTGAGGTAAACTAATCGAAACTCTTGCTTCATGTTTTTTCCTACTTGTTGCTAGTATTTCAATTTTCAACTGCTAAATCTTGAATGATTCTAAACTATACTTCAGACAATATATCAGGAAATGGTAGAAGATAAAGTCAAGGCCAGTCATAAACTTCCGGCTGGACCTATGCACAAACTGATAGCAGAGAATACCAAGTCAAACAGTTTGGTCATGAAGGTAATTTCTAGACTCTCAATTTCCTGGCAAAATCATTGGCAACGTGATTGCGTATTATGATTCTGTCAGACTCACTGTCAATCCAAATATGCATGTAATATATTACATGTTTCATTTTGAAACTAACGAAAGACTTATAATTGTGTTTGAGCAGAAACCAAATTTGGTGATTCCTGCGCATATCATAGCGGAAGCAATATCATCTATCCGCGACATCGACCTGAGATGGTCAGGTCCAATCACGCAGAAAGAAATGGAATATGTAGAACAATATGTCCTAGCAAAGTATCCAGAATATGCGAATTTAATTGAAGGTGATGGAAGTGGAATAGACATGTCAAGTTTCATTATCAATGAGGAGCCTTCAGAATTACCAATGTCAGATGCTCTAAGAAAATCACCACGGTCGCCTTCTTTCGGAAGCAACCTACCTGAAATGGATGGAACACAGCTGGAACCATCAAGACTACTTGATGTTATCAACAAGAAATCCTCCTTTCCTGGAAGTTTCATCTCGATCCCGGAAATTCAAGCTCAAAATAAGGTTTTGAAGCATTGCGGTTTACCGGACGACGAATACTTGGTTCTTTTTACTCCGAGTTACAAAGATGCTATGATGTTGGTTGGAGAAAGTTACCCTTTTGTTAAAGGAAACTACTACATGACTATTCTTGGTGAAGAACAAGAAGATTATATAAAAGAATTTGCTTCTTTTAAGGAGTCTAGGGTTCTCATAGCACCAAAGACATGGCTTGATTTGAGGATTAGAGGTTCTCAGTTAAGTCAAAATTTTAGGAGGAAATGTAAGATTAGTCCAAAAGGGCTATTTGCTTATGTAGCTGATGTGAATGGAACAATGCATTGGGTTTCTGAGGCTCATAGGAACTATTGGCATGTTTTGCTTGATGCGTCTGAATTGGTTGTGGGAAAAGATAGGTTACATGTTGGACTTCATAGGCCTGATTTCTTAGTATGCTCTCTTGATAACACAAATTCCAATCCTTCAAAAATCACTTGTCTTTTGGTTAGAAAGAAAAGTTTTGACACCTCCAATACTTCATCTTAGGATCAATGTTGAATGAGGATAGCACTTGTTTCAGATTGTTGGACAATATTCGAACTACATAGTAATTGGTGATGTTTAATTGGTATCATGAACTCTATACTAAAAAAAGAGAGAGAAACTGTGGATTTTCCTTGTGTAATTTGTTGTAGAAAAAACACTAATTATTTGCTTGGATGCATGTATTATTGATCATTTGGTTGGTTTATTATATAGTTATTGATACTATGATTTTTTTTTTTAAGTTAAATTGTATCTAACCTTGAGAAAAACACACTCTCAAAATTCAAAATTTCACCACTAGATCACACACGCACATAACAATTCATCTTTTAGGATCGACTGCATTCCAACCTTCTTCATCACCAACTAAAATTTTTCCGAAAAAATAAAAACCTTCATCACCAACTAACATTTTTCCAAAAAAATAAATGTTAATTTTGTTATAAAAGCAAAGTTTTAAAATCTTGTTAGTGTCAATTGAGAGCCCAACCAACACTTTGACTTCAATTAATCTATTTTTTTATGCTCTATTATGCTTAGCCATACTAAATCCTTAGATTCCAAGAACTTGAAATTTGTCTTATGCACTTTGAGAATACCAATATTTCATTTTACCAACCAAGTTACAAAATCCAAGTGGTCGATGGTGGCATGCTGATTAAAATATGGACGCATATTGAATAGCAACATCATAATCATATTATTTTTAAAATGAAAAGACAAAAAAACAAATAATATATACAAAATGTGAAAGATTTGCCCCTTGCTAAAGTATAACAAAATTGAGCTGAATGCTAGTTCCATTTCATTCTATTATTAACGGAAACTCAAATCATGAAATAGAGTGAACTAAAAATTGAATTTATAAGAGCTAAAATTCAGTGAGAATATGTTTCAAAACGAATTTAACAAAATCACAAATAGACAACAGGACACATAATGTAAGTGTAAACCACTCATTGTTGTCCCATGTAACATTCAAAATTAATCAATATTTCTAGAATACGAAAGCCTGAAAGCCTCTAAACCTTTGAACTTTGTCCAAAAGATACATGCTTGAGATATACGCAAAGTCATAATTCGGATTTCTGAACTGTCATGTGATTAAACAAAACCTTAGCTGTTATTTTGTAAACTTTCACGCCCATAAACACCCAGTTCTTCCATGGATTCAGCTTGTGGGACTTATTATTTTGATCAGCGACCTATCAAACTAGCAGCCAGTACATCTTTGATTTTAATACGAGATACAACAAGAAAGGGAGAGGCGTGTTGGGACTAACCAAGCTCGAGCTGAATACGGAGACAATACAGCCTTCTGCGGGGAAGAAAATGGTAAAGGCTATAAAATATTAATTGCCTCGTGATAATTATTGTGGGTCTACAATGACCTGATATACCCAACCAGTTACAAGCCGCCATAACAAAGAATAATACAACTATCACTATGAGATAAACAAAGACAAAGCTGCAGCAGCAACAACTAAGACCTGTACTGAAGTATATTAACACGCTGGGCCTATTATACTGCCAACCAAGAGCATACAAATTCCCCAACAGGGGTCCTATACTTCCTCTTGACCATAGTTGCTACTTTTCAAAATGTCATACTTGCAGAGGGGGCAAGTCGCATTAATGTGCAGCCATTTGTCCACACAGCCACAGTGAAAATGGTGACCACAAGGAAGTTGTCTTAGTTCAACACCATCTTCATAGGCTGAAAGGCATATGCAACATTCCTACAGTTTACCACACACAAATAAATTAAAAAGTAAAACCAGACTAGTTTTTTCAAAGTACTTTATCATACAACAACTATTCTCGTGTGCTTGAACCATTATGTAAAATTCCTCTGAATGTAAAGTGTGATAGCTGTTGTAAAGAAAGGACCAGGAAAGAAAAAGGAATAGAAGAAGTACAAATAAAACCAAAATTTAAACATAATTCTCAATCTGAATAATGTGTTCAAAACATTATTGTGTTATAGGTTAAAATGAAGCCAGTGTGAGTGGATTTCCCTTTGTAGTATGTTGAACTAATATTCAGTGACAGAGAGCAAAAGGACCACTGTCTAATGAGACAAGAGAAAATGTTTTGGAAGCACATAACAAAAATTTACAACATACCGCATCTTCATCAGCAAGCACGTGTTCAATTGGGGAATCAGCTTTACATTCAGTCATTATTCCTCCAACAGGTCCTTGTGTATTATCAGCAAGCTTCTCCTTACTTTTTCTTTGGAATTTGAATTTTGCCAACTGCTCAATGTCTTCTTTTGTTGCCCCTTCCTGGTTTTCCCATACAACCATAAAAAAAGGAGTTAAGACATTATCGCAAGGAACAGTACAGATAACATACTTGTAAGTTATAAGGCATTGTGGTCGTGTCCACTCATGATTAGAATTTAGATACACATCCATCATCTACAAAGTTATAGGAAAACAAATCAGATCAAGGTTCATTCTTTCAAGAATATCCTAGATGTTAACAATGTCGACCTGAATGAGGCATAAAAATATCAGAATAATGAACCTTATCTCAGAACAAAAGAACTGTCGGGTAACTAATTCATAACCTTAGACTTACCATCTACCCTGAAAAATTTAAGGTACTCAAGCTCATAATTAGTCTACATCTCCGAGGTATTCCCAACAAATCAACCTTAAGAAGTTACTTTTGAACATTAATTTGCACCCAACAAATCAACCTTAAGAAGTTACTTTTAAACATTAATTTGCACCCAAAAACCTACCATTCATGGTAGCAAAACATTGCATCTTAATAAATGTGTACTCACATGACTGCTTCTTTCCTTTTTTTTCCCACAAAAAAAGAAGGCAGAGGTTAGCAACAGAGACAACAGTTAGCTACTAACAAAGGTTAAGTAAGAGGGGCAGTTTTGTCAGTGGTTCTGGCCTGCTTCAATTCAACAAAAGAACAAATGTAATACTCCTCCTTTGTCCATTAATATCACTGACATGTACGACACAATTGTTTAATCTTTCACATGTTCAGTTTTGTCGGGTCAAGACTATTTTTCCTTTGGATTACCGAAAACGGTGAGAAATGAACGCTGAAACCTTTTTGTAACAAATAGGAACTCTAGTTTCATTCAGCCATAATAAATTCAAAAACAAAAATAATATTTAAAGCCGTAAGTTCTACCAAATTCATTCAAGACTGGAAAATGCTACTAAATCAAATCAAATTGAAGGAAATAAACACTTCAGGAACCAGATTCATCTCCCATGGAAACTCAAACAAGAACAAGTAATGATTGTGACTTGCCTGGTCTGCAACGGCATACAGAAGCGCAATAATACACGGAAGACAGCAGCATACAGCAAGACCAATGATGCATGCCAGCGCAATACAGAAAACGACAAAAAAAACATCAAACCCCAAGAAGACAATACATAACCTGTAAAGCAAGTGTATTTTGTCAAAAGTAGTAAACTACTATAAAAGCAGATTTCCCAAAGAGAAAATAAATCATATATATAGTGTACCAAATGAGAACTCTTACTGTGACAACACTTTCAATAAATACCACCAAATTAAATTTAATGATTCAGATTAGTCCCTCAAAATTCACAGGCATGTGACCTTCTCCTCTTTTCCCCTACCTTCACATCACATCTCAGCCCCTTCTCCTTCCAACAGCGGCGTCAAAGTCTTCATTCAGTGAAAGTTAACAACGGGAAGTAAGGACATTAAAAATATTTTACATATATAACTACTAGTGTTCCGGAAAGAAGCCCCGTCAACCCAAATTGATATATTACTGAGATCGGGTTTTAACAACATGAAAATTTATTTATATCAAATAACATAAGCCAAGGAGAAGAAACCGAAAATATATGCAACTGTTTGGTGGTTAATGATTGCATAATTCATCAAAAGGAGATGAAAGAGCATTGACATTGAAAATTCACGCCCCAATTTTAATTCTATGCGACAGTGATTTCCAAAACCAGTATCTAAGAATTCCCCAAAACCCTCTCTTTTCCACCACCAGCTTTCCCATCTTCAACACTGGCTATCTCGGCACAGTTTTCTACAATGTCAAGAGGACTCAAAAACCCAACAAGACCGACGACATGATGAGGAGAAGGAGCCAGAGATTAACAGTTGGCAGCAAACAAATAAGGAAAAGGAGTCGTGTAGGAAAAGGAGTCGTGTGTCTTTTAATTCTGAAGGTTAATCTGAATCATTGAAATCAACCCCGCAATTATTAATGAAAGTTCTCAATTCCCACAATATATAAGAGCAGAGAGAGGGAGCAAACCAGTAAAGCATGGGAGAATCATTGATCAAATCTTGACCATCCGCTGAGACCCAATAGAATCCAATGACCCACCAAATAAAAGAAAACATTGTGTTGGCTGATTCCAAATGCTTCGGCAAACTATTGAGAGAAACAAAAGGTGATAAACATAAAAAATTACATAATCTAAAAAATGGCCCTTTTAAATCAATAATTGACTGTGGTAATTTTACAATAATATTAGGCATATTGCAGTATTGTGTAAGCCCTCAGGCCACAACTCTATTTTTAGGCAACTTTAGAAAGTATCTCATTAATCAAGGTTAGGAGGTTAATTCATTACACAAAAAAATTATTAACAAATTGCAATAAGCTATGAATTGTAAACCAGTGAGTTATATGATCGTCTCGGAAATGAAATCAGGGAAATAAACACTTCGTCACGTATCATTTAGTTTACAATTTTACATAAAGAAAAATAAGGTTGAAAGCTGATTGCACTTAGTTATCACATTGGTGTTATCAACTGCAGATAGCAGAAAATCGTGGCTTGTTCAAATTGCGTTATGCTATAGTGCCTCTATTTAACAACAATTCATCACACACGTGGTGATTCAAAAACCAAAAGTAGTACATAAACCTCCCCGGTTACACTGTGTTTTGAGAGATTGAATAAAAACAGCTGTATTATATGATAATTCATATAACTATCACCCGACAGCCTCCCTCATCTTCTTTACAATCAAAGTTAAGTTACCTTATCAATTTCATACATACTTCCTATTTGAAATGACCTTATATTTTAAATTGAACTGAAAGATGTTATTTTCCCCTTAACTATTGAGAAGCTAAAACTGCCATGAGGCTTATTTGAAATATGGATTGAAGTTTTCCTAGAGTTCTCAATTAGCCAAGCTACTTCTCACTTAATGGGACTTGAGAACTAAGGTGTGTATACACTCAACAATTTCACAAACACATCTGTAAGATATATTCAATCAAAGCCAGTGGAGCTTTAAATTATAACACATACTAAGAAATATATGAAAGCATGCAGTGCAGGTGGATATTCAACCTCAATCTCAACTCATGTCAGGCATCAACTTATTCTAATCTTAGTATTAAAGAGTTTGAGCTTATAATTTCAAGGGGATTAATCGCAAATTCTCTCTGTTGGAAAAGGATCATTCATTAGTATCATTTTAATTCATAATTATAAAAACAGTAAATAATTTTATCTTATAGCTAGCATCCCTAAAATTTAATAATTGAAACGAAAGGGTTATCCAGGATTCCAGGTTTCAGAAACTCAACTCACCTGGTGGAACCATCATCCCCATACTGACCAGAACCATCCATTGAACCAAAGCTCAAATCCCCACTTCCACCACTCCCAACCGCGTTACCACCGTTCGTATTCACCTGTTCCCGCATCCTTATCCTTCTCCGATACTCAAAACAAACACACACAGTATGAACAACACACTGTAGCGCATACCCTAAAATCCACAACCTAAGAGGCGTACTTGGAGATTCACTCCGGCTCAAAATCATCACAGTAGCAGCCACAATAATGAACGACAAGTTCCAGAGAATATCAAGGATCACCACCGGCTTCGAATAAGCCCAATCGCTTTGTCTCTCTTCCAATTGCTCCGCTGCGGTTTCCCTCACCATCATTGACGGCTCGCGCATCAACCTCCGCCCACTCGCTTGTCGTAAAAACCGCGCCGCTTGACGGAGACTCGGCGCACGGAGAATTCGCCGCCCGGAGTTTGACTCGTCAGATGAAGTTCCGATTAACGGCGTCGGATCCGCGGTTGTCGTCGCCATGTTTGAATGAATTCTGAATCTGTTCAGAAGTTCTTGATAGTGATAAAGAGAAATTGATTCGATAAAATGGTGATAATTTTTTTTAGGTGGAATTGAATTTTTATTTTTTATAAAGGAAATGGAAAGTTCTCAAAACTCAAATTGTGATGATAACTATGGTTTCATTGGCTCTTCGGATACGGTGTCGTTTTATCGGGTTTTTTTTTTGTCACCGAAACGTGACGTGTTTTTTTTTTCTCCCGCTTGAATTAAATGGAACAGTACGCTGTACTATTTTTGTTCTTTTTCTAATGTGCATTGATGGCATGGCATTTTCGTGAAGCTAGGAAGCTGTCAAGAGTCACAGATGTCGGCCGTGTATTCAATAGTAGTAAATATGTAAAGACCATGTTCCAACTTGTAGTAATATTTACACTTGTATAATGTTCCATGTTGTGTTAATAGTTTCGAGAATATTTGGTATGTTTTCTTTGGTTGTCCCGAAACGAATCAATGTTGATGGACAGTTGGGTTGGATAGTATTATTGACTATCGTTTGTATTCGTTTTATTATGTAAAAGTTGATTATTTGTTATGTTTGTAAAAGTGAGATAGAAAAATTGTCGATAGAGTTGTAGTTGTGTTTGAGGTTATGTGGAAGAATATGAATGATTTTATCTAGAATAATGAGTGGGATGAGGTTTCAAAATTTGGTTGACTTGCTTTTCACAGGTGACAAGAATGGTGGTCGGCACATCAAATTCATGAAGACAATAACGACCATAATCAAATGTTATATTGGAGTTTGTCATCTCTCGGGTAGCTTAAGTGTAATGTGGATGCGGGCTTTAACAAGAATTATGGGCCATCGAATAGAGGATAGTGTTTTCAGGATAATTCTAGTGATTTTATTTCAGTAGGGGTGGCTTGAAATCCCGGGAGTCTTTCTATCATCGAGGTGGAAGCTTTAACTCTAAAAGAAGCACTACAAAATGTTATTGTTATGCAACTTGAACAAGATATTTTTGAAAGTAATTCATTTCAAGTGGTGCAAGCTTTACGGTCCAAATCAACAGGAAATTCAAAGTTTTTTGTTATTATTAGAGTTATTCAATTGTTGTTATAAAATTTTTCAAACTTTGAGGTAAAGTTTATCAAGCACCAAACGAATATGATTGCACATTAGTTAGCGAAAAAGGCTAAATTTTAAGTTAAACGTAGTTTTATTCATCTCATTTCTCCTTGTATTGAACAACTGATTCATAATAAAAGAAGTTAGTTTTGCTTTGTTAAAAAAAAATACAAAGTTTTTATATTTGCTTAAATATTTTTATAGCTTTAAATTTTGTAAATTTTTAAATAGATTTTAAATTACTTAATATTATAATTAAGTTTTTAAACTAACTAGTAAAAATGCGTGCATATGCGTGTGTTCTAATATGATATATTGACAAGTGGCGGTGAAATACATAAAGAAAAAGAAAGACAAATAATACTAAATATTTTCTTGAATATTTATAAATAATCAAAATCATTAAATAAGCTTCGATCAGTTAGAAAATAGTCATTAGAGATTGAAATGTTTTTGAATCTGCCTGGTTTTTGGTTATGTGGTTGTGCTATGATATTTTTGTGAACTATGGCCTCTTCTATCACTTGTGCAGCGAACTGTTTTTGTACTCAAAACTTAGGATTTCTTGTTGAACTTGATTTTTTGATAACAAACTTTAAGCAACCCGTATTGGACTTGTCTTTTTCTTATATCTGGTTATTTTTGATATGTCAACTCTATTGTGATTTACACTTTTACTATGCTATGCTGCCCCTGTTACTGTCCCTGTTGCTTGTTGGTTTTGTGTGAATTCTGGTTTTGTGTGTTGCTTTTTCAACTGAGTTTGTACTTATGCAGTACATTACCTTTTTTTTTAATTTAACTTTATTGTGAACCAAACAAATCCCTTTCTATTCATTTGTTTGAGATTTGTAGTAAAGGGCTAGGCCTATGATTGATATTGTAGTTCTGACTTTTGTTGAAACAAATCAAAATGAGGCTTTTGATTGTTTCTTAGAACATGATGCTGGACTTTAATGAGTTTGTAATTCTGATTTGGACCTCTTTTGATTTTGTCTTTTGTAAACCAACTTTGCTTTTGATTTAGATAAAGTTAGGCCCGGGATTAAATTGAAAATCTGATTTTCTATGAATCAAATTTATGAGGCCTATTGTTGGATTTGTGAATTTGAAAACTAACCAATAATTGTATTCCTATCACAGACCCTCATGATGAGATTTACATAGAAATCTCGTACGAAATCTTACTCTTGTTCATGTTCTTTTGTGATTATTTTGTACTAACATGTCTTCTTTCCTTGTTTCATGTATGGTTGATGAGGAAAAATAAAGATGGAAAGGCAAAGTTGAAGAAGAGACAGTGGCTTCCATAGAAAAGCATGGAGGGAAACTTAAGAAGTGAAGAATTTGAAACCAATAGAATCTCATAGGAACTTAAAGTAGGTTCAGGACCCTTCTTTGATTTGTCTTGTATTTGGAACCAAACTTGTAACTTTTGAAACTTTGATTAGAAAATTGATATGATAAACTTGAATTATGAATGAATTTGAAGAATGGTATTTGAAACTTAGTCCTAAAGATACTTTGAATGAATCTTGAATGAAACAAATGATTTTTATGAATGACAATGCTTGACTCTTGATAAATCTTTGAATTAGGCCAAGAAAATTGTTTGGAATTTGTTATGATAATGCATCAATTTAAAAAGGAACTTAAATGAAATTGTTTTGAATACTTGATTTCATGAACTCATAATCAAAATGAATCAACAAATTCCCATGTGTACCATTTTTTAATCTTGACAAAACCATACAAAAAATCCTAATTAGGAAGGAGGAGATAGATGAAACCACACCTTATAGCTTAACGAATCGCTAACTTTAATTCTCCACATTAAAATTAACTTGTAATTGAAGTGAACAAGTATTTGATGAGAACTAAAATTATATCGACCAAAATGAATTGCAACTTGTACTTCAACCCACCATAATCAACAACGCCTTCATGAATTGAAATTAGAAGCTAAACTTTTTTAAGTCAAGAATTGACCTATAACATTTTGAGAAGTTTCAAAACTTTCTAAGCACAATTGGACTTTGATCCTTAAAGAAAATTTGTAGATGACATTTTTTTATGACAATGTACAAAAATAATCGTCTCAAGATCTTGAAAATTGAGGAAATTACGATTCTTGGAAGTCAGGCAACAGTTACTTGAGATTAGGTCAAAGTCCAGAAGGTGACCTCTAAAGTATTCAAACTTTTGGTGATCTTACACACATAATTATCCCATTGACTTTTAAAATTAAGTTGTAGATGATGTCAAGGAGAGTCATACGCAAAAAGAGCCACTCAAAAATATTGAATAATGAAAAAGTTATGATCGTTTGAACTTGAACTTGCAAACGTTGAGCTTTTGCTCAATACAGTTGATTTTCAATTATCTGAACCATTAACTGGGCAGACTTGTGATGCAAGGCTTGAAACTTGACATGAGCATCTTTGAGAACATATGAAGAAACATAAAAACCAACTTGAGACCTTGGCAACTTAATATCCCTTGAGAGATACAAAACCCTAGTTGTGGACTCATTGCTTAGGAGGAGAATTTGTCTGATCAATTCTTCAGCAAACTTGAGCCATTGAAAATCTTTAGAAACATGAGGAGATATCTTGAATAAAAATGGGAGGAAAAAGTTTGGGGTACAACAGCTTCCCCTGTTCAATCTTACTAATTTTGAAGAGTTAGATTGGCGCGTCGGCCATTCGTAACTTGAAGGTATAAGATGAGTGAACACTTAAGTGCCAAAAAATTTGCACTCTCTTGTCCACGAAGTAACTTTGTTGGTTGATTATACCGGGAATGGGCTTAAAGATGCCATTTGGAGAGTGACAGAATATTGTCGGAGATGGGCTTATAGATTTCATACAAAGGTTATAGATATTCGTCGGAGATGGGCTTATAGATGCCATCCATAGTAATCGTTGATAGAATTATACTAAGTCTACACACGACTTCAACTGGAAGAAGTGTCAGAATAAATTTATGCTTGATTTAAACTGAGCCAGAAGATGTCCACTGGAAGAAGTATCAGAATAAATCTTTGGTCGAATTAATCTGGGCCAAGAAAATGCCTACTGGAAGAAGTATCAGAATAAATATTTGGTCGATTTAATCTGAACCAGAAAAAATTATACTGGAAGAAGTATCAGAATAAATCTTTGGTCAATTTAAAATGAACTAGAATATGTTTGTGTCCATCTTTAACTGGGAGAAGTATCATAATAAATCTTTGGTTGATTTAATCTGAGACAACAGAGGTTTTTGTCTGTCTTTAAGTAGGAGAAGCATCAGAATAAATATTTGGTTGATTTAATTTGAGCCAGAAAAAGTCTACTGGAAGAAGTATCAGAATAAATTTTTGGTCGATTTAAACTGAGCCAGGAGAGGTCTATGCTCGATTGTATCTAAAAGTGGATCAAAATGAGTCTTTGCCTGACTGTATCTGAATAATTTATGGGAATGAATCTACGCCTGACTGTATCTAAAAGAGTACTTTCTAGAATGAACCTCTGGGAAAGGTGTTTGAGTAGCTGTTTGTTATGTGATGGTCGCCCCATCCTGTTTCAGGAATTGATCTATGATCTGCTTTATTGATAAACCCGTCTTGTTTCGATAGTTCATACCATTGGTGATAAAGATAGTTGCCCTATCTTGTTTTGGGAATTGATCTTTATCTGACCAAAAAGAAAGAAAGATAGTTTCCCCATCCTGTTTCAGGAGTTAATACCATTGGTGATAAAGATAGTCACTCTGTCCTGTTTCAGGAATTGATATTTATCTGACTAAAAAGAAACAAAGATAGTTTCCCCGTCCTGTTTCGGGAGTTAATCTTCAATATGTTCATGTAGATAGTCACCCCGTCCTATTTCAGGAATTGATCTACAAT